TTGGGTCGTGACATTCNTTCTACTTATTATTTTGATACTGAGCCCGAGGGGCAGATTTCTAATTATTATTTTGATACTGAGTCCGAGGGGCAGATTTCTACTTGTCATTTTACTGCCAAATTACTTGTTTTACTGATTTAAAAGAAATTTCACATGATATTTCACTGAATTGTTATTTTAAATGATTTCACTGCTTCTGTATAGAATGTTGTGTGCCTTAACGTGTTTTCTTACCTTCAGTCATTATTTATATTTATTACTCACTGGGTCGGAGTACTCACATTACTCCCTGCACCATGTGTGCAGGTACAGGTATTCCTGAGGCATAGAGCGAGTTTTCTGCTGTTCAGTTTTCATTGGAGTTATCGAGGTAGCTGCATGGCGTTCGCAGACCCATTTTCTCCCTTATCTTCTGTTATTTATGATATCTTCAGACTTTGTTCCTAATTCCATACTTTGTAGAATTTTAGTAAACTCTGTAGTAGCTCATGACTTGTGACACCCCCGTTAGGGCTGAGTTGGGTTGGATTTCCGTATTTTATCTATACTTTCCACTATTGGATATTATTAAACCATGTTTATACTATAATTATGTTAATTAATTGTCTTAAAAGGATGAATTGGGTTGAATGATTGGCCTTGGCTTCATGAGAGGCGCCATCACGACCAGGTTCGGGAATTGGGTCGTGACATTCGATCACACTCCTAAGTCCCAAATCACCCAACGGAGCTAACCAAATCATAAAATTTCCGATCCGAGATCATATACATCAAGTCAAATCTTGGTCAAACCTTTCAAATTTCAAGCTACAAACTGAGAATTGTTCTTCCAAATTCGTTCAAATTAACCTGAAAACCAAGACCAATGATTTACATAAGGCATAATACATCACACGGGGCAAGTCATGCCCGAGAACTGGCGAGCAAAGTGCAAAAGCTCAAAACGACCGGTCAGGTCATTACAGTAATACATATAGCGAATGCATATGATCTAATTATGAAGCAAAAAGCCTTCATTTTATATCAACTTGATGAACTTTACAATATTCAAATTCATCAGGAAATCATACTAATTGTTTTAAGAACTGATGATGTACTTCTAGAAAATGAATAAATTAAACATTAAGAACAATAATGGTTACAAATTTTTTTCAAAGTTTCATAAATAGGAAAGCAAGGAGAATTCAACATACCACCACTTCAACGGAAAGTGAATATATTAGAGATTGCACAACTTTTAGATGGATTTGCCTTGCTTTCTCATTCCCCAAAAAAAGAGTATATATACATGAGTTTAAGCTCATACTCCCTAAAATTTCTCCTAAAAATATTCTAAGAATATTATATTCATATAATATCAACAAATATAGATACACAATATATAATTACTATATTTACACACTTACAGATCATGTTTCATAAAAGAAATGGAAAAGGACCAAAACTGCCCCTAACCTATTCACTTAAGTTTAAAAATACCCTCCGTCCACCTATTTTGTAAAAATTGCCCTCACCGTTAAAAATATGGCCCATTCATGCCCCTAACGTCAACTTTTCGGCCCACTCATACCCTAAAAACTAACGACCCTATTTTAATTAAGAAAAAAAATTATTATTTATTATGTGTTAATTTCCTATTGACTTAAATTAAAACCTCACCCCATATCCACTTATTAGCCTACTCCGTCTCAGATTTTTCGGCCTTAGTTTAATTTTTAAATTAACATTTTTTGTTAAATCAATTTCCTGAGTGAAATCAGGTATACTTTGAGAGTAAATTAATGCTTCATTGTAAGATTTTATGGCTTAATAAGGTATCTTTCTGCCAACGTTATATTTGTTGTGCCACCATATAGCTTTTAAGAGTTAATTGAAATCATATGAGCAAATTGGCTTCACATTTGATCGGTATTGATTTGGTTGGGAAAGTGTAGGCGATGATTAAGCCGGGGAAGATGAACAGGGAAAGGGACCAAATAATAAATTAATAAAAAGAAAAACATGAAATTTAACTAATGAAACCTAAATAACAATTGGATCATGAGTTGGGTATAGAATCGAGTGGTTGAGGGACAAAAGGAGTTTAATGGGTTGGAACGACTAAGATGGATCGTTGTTGGGTTATATATAGATAAGATATGGGTTAGAATTAGATTTTTAATTTTGACCAATACGCAATTGCCATGTCATATATAATAAAATAATATTTTTATTTCAGCAAATGTCCTTCTGAAATAAGGGCATGAATGAGCCAGATTTTTAATGGTGAGGGCAATTTTTACAAAATAGGTGGACGGAAAGTATTTTTAAACTTAAGTGAATACATTAGGGTCAGTTTTGGCCCTTTTCCGTAAAAGAAAATCCAGCTCTCTGCGGATTCAACAATGAAGCATGAAGGAAAATCAATAAGATCCGCTAATTTTTTTTATAGTATCATAATGCTTCTTTCAATTAAAACTTGATTTTTTAATCTCAATTCAAAAAATAAATTATCTTTCGATTCAAGATTTAAGTTTTCAATTTAAAAACTTTTATCCTTCAAGTTAAATTCAAATTAATTTTTTTTATCTTAATTAAATATATTTTTATCTCAATTCAATATTTTTATTATATTGTTTAATTATTTATTAATTTTTACAGTACTTTAACTTTTTCTTTTGTTACCACTTGACGTGGTTGATTACCTTGTTATATTTAATTAATTACCTGAATGATTTATTTAATTCTCTTTTTTATTAAGAATAATAGTCTAAAAGATACATAAGAGATATGGTAGTTTAGGAGTCATTTTTTTTTCTTCTTAAAAAGCATTTTCCAAAACATTTGCAAGATTCATCTCAATAAATTTAAACTTTATCAGATAAAGTTTGCATTAACAAACATTTGGCATTCAATAATTTAACTAAACCATATGTTTATAAAAAATTATTTAGATCTAAAGTAAAATTCAAAATAAAGATTATTTTAATAGCAAGGGATCGTTGGATATGAACTATCGGTTCTGTCTAGGTTTAATACTATTTTGTTATATTATTTTCTCTAGTTAATGCTTATTTTATTTCCTCTCTTTAAAAGAAACCATGAATATTCATTTCCTTATGTGCTTTTCTCTAATTAATGCTTACTTTATTTTCCCACTTTAAAGGAAACCACGGATATTATTTTTCACATAATATTACTCCAAATATGGTAATGTAAGTCACGTACAGCTCTAACATGCAATTTTTGATAGATATTTTTTTCAATTATTAATTAGATACAAAAGAATATTAATAAATATTGTTTTCCAATGTTATACAAATAGAATCCAACAAATAAATTCCATAAAAGTGTTAAGTGGCTTGTTCTCATTATGCCACTTGACATAACCACATGCTTTGCTACCCTCCTTTTAATCTATACTAGTATCCGTACCCACGCGTTGTATGGAGAATAATAAATATAATTCTTCTTAAGAAAATATATCCTGGAAAAGACGATAGATACAAAAAGCGTGAAAATGCTATTATTTTTTGGAATGTGTTAATGTAATGAATATTCGTATAATAAAGTAGTAAGTAAACACAATAAAGAAACATACAGTTATTTCTTGAAGCCAATAATGTTCTTTATAGCCTTAATAAAGCAAGTCAAGTATTCACAGAGGCGGATCCAGGATTTAAACCCTATAGGTTCAACTTTTAAATATTTTAGTATTGAACCCATTATATTTTTAAAAGTTGTGGGTTCATATTTACTATTTTTGCAATTTTAATGAATTTTTACATATAAACTTTACTTTGCGTCCAAAGTTATGGGTTCAATTGAACCCGTCGAGTATACCCTACATCCGTCCCTATGTATACCAGCTAGATTGCCACAAACAAAGGTCTCCAACGCCTTGCAAATTCAAAAATATGACAAAGTTATAGTATTTCAAGATAGAAAAATCAGACCTCATAACATACAGTTACGGTAAAAGAATTACTCCCATTTGCACAACCTTGACATCTACAATGTACGCACTCTATTACAATAACTTCAATTCTAGTAATACTCATCTTATTGTTTGTTGTGCTAAGTTATGGCCTTACGTTTATTTAATGATTTAAAAGTTAAGGCCAAAGGCAAAATGTTTCATCATTCATACACACAGCAAAATTCTAATTATTCTTATTATTCTAATTTAAAAAAGTTTTGGTACAATAAAATTTTAGTTATTTGGAACTCATTGATATGGAGAGACTCATTCTTTATTTTCTAGCATCGGCGATTATTAGCTCCTTTGTTTTGCATAGAGCTTCGAGATCATTTATTTTCAAATATCATTATACATGTGTGCGTGTGTGGATTTATTTAGCCCAAAGAAAAATAAGTTAGAATGTTGGGAGCTAAATGGTTATGCCATATTTTCCGGTTTGGAAAAATAGGGCACTCGATAAGATTTGAACTTGAACCTCCGACACAAATATGAATTTGGTATAATTACCTATTACTCGACTCGACTCGTCTACCTTACTTTACCCACGAGTGTAGTTGCACTTTCAATTGAATTGTAAATATTATTAAAGTTATAAAATCCACCATCATGGTTGATTTATAATATTGTTCAAGTTAGAACTCAATAGTTATGCTATATTTTCCCCTGAGAAAACAGGGCACTCTTATGAGGTTTGAACCTGAGCCACCGACATAAAATTTTAAGGATTAAGTTTTTCGCTGACATAACAATATTAATGTGGTATAATTACCTATTACTCGACTCGTCTATATTACTTTAGAACCCATGAGTGTGGTTTTCTTTCTATTGAATTGTAAATGTTGTTAAAGTAATAAAATTCACCATCAAGGTTGATTTATAATGTTGTTAAAGTTACGAAATCCACATAGGGCCACTATATATTCCAATATTTTATGTGCAAATCAGAAATAATAGATTCTAACTAAACAATCAAATTTCTGGTAATTGAGAGAGACTATTTTCTTTATCTTTCGAATTAGCCATCTTTATGGATTTCATATTTACCTATCATTGAAGGTTTTATTGATACTTATAATCAATAATGTGTACATCTCAGATTGGTTAACGTATTAAAAAAATTCGGCGAATATCAGGTATCGGCCAGAAAAAGTTTGTAGTTCAAGCAATGAATTTAAAAGTTTGAATTTAATGTATTTCAAGCTCATTGATATAGAGACGGTCGTTCTTGAATTTTTATCACCAACCTTTATTAATTCCTTATTTTTTGCACAGATCTTCGACATCATATGGCCTTCCAGGGAAATGGTTATAGCTTGGGACTAACTATTCTTCAATCTCTGCTCAAATCACATACAAAATGAAAAATGTAAACTGTCAGGCAGATAATGTCTGACGAACTATCTCAAGAAATAACTAAATTAATCGAGCTAGATGAAAAGATAATAAGTTATGATGCCAGTAATAAACCTGTTATTTCAAGTTGATGGTTAATGATATCGGCATCCTTGGCAAAGGTTTTTAACTTTCCTCTTTAGATGTGATTTCCTATTTATATGTACTTGGCATCATTTCAACAGTATATGTCAATGCCCAATTCAAAGACGAAAAAATTATCTCTTGAATATCCGTATTTTGAAGCGCGAAAGACATTAAATTTCTTATAAGTGGATGGATTTTCATAGTTTAATGGCACATAATTGAGTGTTTGGTGATATCATCAAATTCCAAATAGCTTGATATACTCTTTATGAATAACAGAAGGTAATATCTATAGCTCAAGATGTTGATATTTTACATACAATAGGCTGGAAAAAATAAAATATGTAAAAGACTGAAAGCATGAGTCCAAAGATTGAAACTTTTTCCCTTACTATCATATGCATTAACATTGAAACTTGTCTTTAATATTTGAACGAAATATGTATGTTGTTTACACCAGAGATATTTAGCTCTTTATATAAACTACATTTTTGTGACTTCTTTAGCAGTTGCTCACTTATTTAAAAGTATGTCTTTTACGACCATTCCTTAATATCTTTTGGGTTCTCGAGTGAATTCACAAAATTAATGTAACTGAATTAGAATGGTCAGTATCAACATTCTGACACAATTCATTAGCTGAAAGCCTGAAATAGCTAGGTCAATAACAATACTTTGACACAATTAATAAGCTACCAGCTATAGTATTTCTTCATCATCTGTGTATAGGTCCGGTATTCTTATATGTGAGTTCTTGACTACAGAACAATCTAGTTTATCTGGTTTAATAAGAATTACCCAAAAACAGATGTGATTATGATTTGTAGCAGAGATTATTGATAAAGAAAACTCATAACAACACTCAAAATCAAGTCAAATTCCAACTTTCCCCTGTAAAAGTTAGTGCCTTGATGAATTTCCTTAAAAAGAACCTATTACTATAGTTTTTGTTGATTAATTGAGAGAGTGTTGCCTATTACGATATAGTTGAAAGCCCCTTACAATATAGTTGAAAGCCCCTTAAGATTATGTTTGAATTAGTATGATGTAGTCATTCTACTTAAAATATTTTTTTTTCTTATTAAGTCTTTAACAATACAAATTCTATTTGTTCCTAGTCAAGCCTTTACCATACAATGATACAGTCTTCAAAGCACCATTTTCCTTCTTGCATTGTGAACGACTTATACTTCTGTAAATTTGATTCAAAATAAACTGTAATACTTTTTCAAGCTACCATGGTGCACTTCAAGATCAGAAAATGTCATATACATACCTTTAGATTGCGGGTCTTAGAAAGGATCCAAATGCTAAAGTTATTTGAATGAGCGTTAATTCTCTAGTGACTGGTGCTTTCTCGCTAATGAGGCAGTCCCTTGACTCTTCGCTTCACCTTTCAGAATGCTTAACGAATGAGGCATTGAATGTTCTCGAAAGTTTTTGGGACAAAGCAGGAAAAATGATGAGATTTAGATGAGCAGGAAATAATCAAAATTATCTAATTTTTTTTCTACTAAAAAGAGATATATGGTCAATTAAGAAGAATCCTTATCAAGTCAATATCTATATTTTTTTACTCTACAATTAGTATAATTGATATGCTATTTATATTCAGGTAGCAGTAAAGTTTACATTGCACCCTGTAATCGATGTCCTTAAGTTTTATATTTTTTGAGAATTCATATACAATGTCTTATATTTGAAGAACAATTTATTTGTCTGATTCCTTTCAAACTTTTGATGAGAGGTTCCATAGTTTGAAAACAGATATCTAAGGTTCTATGCTTAATTACTTTTTGTATTAAGAAACATGAGTGCATGGTTACAAAATTACTGAAAGTTTTTTAAATTCAAGCTATCAGTTAGTGTTGTATTGTTGAAAGTGAAATGATCCCACATCAATTATCCATTCTACTGCTCTTGCACTGCTCTTCTACATACGCGACATTTTGAACTTCTTACCGATAGAAAGATATGAAGTGAAATCCATGTTCATNCCTTTCTGAATCAACTTGTCCTTGCGCTTACCACTTCTTAAAACTTGCGAGCGAGTGTCGATCGCTCCATTGCCTGGGCAAGATCTGACGACTCCTGCCCAAAGATGGCGGGTTACGAATTCAGATTAGCTACTGCCAAAGAGGCCAGGAACGAGCTTCCGCTTTATCTAAAGAAAAAACCTCTTCCTTTCTCTCTTCCTGATCAGCGGATTCAGAGTGATCAGGTGAAGCCCCCCTTCTCGTTGGACGTGACAGTCAGTTACAGTGGGTAAACTAACGAAGGGAAGAATTTGATTTAATCACAGAATTGAATCGGGTCTCATCCCTTCGATTCCTCGCTGCATACTTCAATGAGAAAGGAAAAGAGCTTTGTTGCGTGCTTCTTCGGGTGTGGTTGCAAAGTTTGAAAATTGCATGACAGTGTAAGGGTCGGAGCCATTGTATAGATAAGGTTCAAACTTTTCTTCAAATTCTTTCCCACAAAGTTATTTTTGATTTTGCAAAACAGCCCTGGAAAAAAGATGAAACATAATCTAGTTGAGTAAAAATCTATATGATTCATCCAAAATGTCATATAAAGATATGTGCTTAAACAACTTGAAAACAGAATTAAGGTTAGAATTAATCCCTTTTTTAGGAAGATAACAAACAAAGCATACTTAAAAAGAGATGAGATGCTTACTAATCAGTAACAACTTCGATGTCCCTTTTTTTCACTTATTTCCAACACTCTCCATGTCAGCAATGGCACATAGACAACCAACCACATCGATAATATGAACTGAAAAAAAGTAGTCATTTCATAATTACATTTGAATTAAACAAAATGTAGCAGCAAAGATTGATAATATTTGTAGTAATATTACTTTTCAATAGTAGAGCTGAAAAAATTAATAAGTGAAAGAAATAGAGAAAGAACTTCAGATTTGCAACTTAATCACATTAAAAAACAGAGAAGGTATAATGAATCAGTAACACAGAAAATCCAGATTAACTAATACTAATTTATATTATTGAATACTTGAATTTATAATAATACTACTTATCAATAATAGAGTTTAACGAATTAGTAAGACAAACAAACAGAGCAACAACTCCAAATATTTCATTTTCAATATAGAGTTGAACGAATTAATAAGTCACATAAGCAATTACTCCGTATTTGAAACTTAATTTATACTAATAGTACTTTTATCGAGTAGATTTTTCATTTTCAACATAGAGTTGAACGAATTAATAAGTCATATAAACAGAGCAACTACTCCAGATTTTACTTTTATTGAGTAAACTTGAATGAGTTAGTAACTCAAATACACAAAGCAACAAACTCAAATTTGCAACTTAAGAAACATAAAGATTGTAGCCTTAAATATAAAGACTATAGATATGCAATTTAATTATGTGAAGATGTATATTTACACAAACACAAAATACAAAAATGGATAGAGAGTGAACATTGCTAGCACCATACATAACTTTAATACACAACTGTCTCAAAATCCTTTCTTTTGGTAGTCAAAACACTACCAAAAGACTTACTTAAATATATTAATTTGAAAGAATCTGACAGAAGCTTTGAATGTCTAGCAAAAACAAAACCTCAACAGTTAAAGTTGTCATGTATTGCTTATAGCTTTCGCATAACAGAAAAGTGTAGTGTAACATGAAAATTTATCATTTGATGGTTAATCAGTAAATAAAGATTGATTTAAAAAAGCAAACAGAGATATGTTGGGGTGAAGTTATTGCAGAGAATCATCTGTAATCCTAATTATCTTTCATTTTAAGGAAGAAAAATCAGCGGTCTTTTCCAACCAAATCATGATATTTGTCATTCTTCTTGGCTCTTATTCTCAAGAAAATATTTTACCATACAATATAAAAGGACAATAAATTTGCCAAAAGAAAAGAAAGAATAAGGGTATAATCACAAAGGAAAATTGATACTTCTCAAATCCTTTCAAAGAGTTGCTTCTGAAAGATACAAACGTTCAACAACCACTAAGAGAAAATACTTATGTAGCAAGCTCAACTTCAAGCAAAACCATACCTCTCTCCCCGCCTTTAATAGGGCAATTAAGCCATGTTGTGCAGAGAGGAAAAGAAATAATAATCTCACGATGAAAAAAAAATGTCTACTTGATGAAACTTTAAAATTCAAGATTTATTGGCAAAGATGAAAATCACAAAATTAAAGGTGGTCAAATGAAATGAACATGGCCATACAGATGAAAGTATAAAAAGTTGTTCAGTCATGAAGTAAGTTGTACATTCCTCAAGATGACTGACATAATCACTATTTCTTGCATAAACTATAGCCGCATCATGAGGTTTTGTTATCATATCCTCATCCTCTTCAGAGTCATTGTCCTGAAAGAAGAAGTCCAGCAATGAGCCAAAAAAGAAGAAACGGGGAAAAAGAAAGTGCAAATAACATAGAAGAGGTGTGATTCTGCACATTAAATTAATTGAATTTAGTCAGTACATGCTACAGATACTTTCCTTTTGCTTAAATGATGACTATTATTTTCAACTATCTACAATCTTTAGAACCCAAAGGCAAGTAAAAATCAAGAAAGAAGAAGAACTTTAATCTATGAGAAAGTGATACACTTTAGGAATTGAATAGCACTACTAACGTCACAAATTCTTTTGGAAACTAAATTTCAGGATTGTGGAAAATTAATGCATAAACACAATAGAGAAGAAGAACATTAAAAATAAGTGAAATTAAAGAACGAATATGTTACCCTTGCATCTTGTAAGATCAATTCTATGAAATATGGTATTTTAGGCTTGAAGCAATCCGGAATTTCCCATAACTTTCAAATTTCATTGCCTCGAGTTGCTTGAAATTGTCGGATTTCATGAACTGGTGTAGCCACCTTTACAAACTCAAAATAAGAGAAACCACATACTATTGTTGAATCAACTTGGGAATACTATTGTTAGCAGAAAATATGGAATAGAAAGGGAAAGAAGAAACCACATAAAGCATTAATTACCGTAGATTCAAAGCAGTTATGGTTGCTGTAGATAAAAAACAGTTAGGTTAGGATTGTTGATGAAGCCGACGTTTGGGATCGTGGGTTTTTCTTTTCTTCTTTTTTTCTTTTTTTATTGTACAAATTTAAAAAATCTAACTATTTAGGTATATATTAATAACTTTAAAAAAAGGCCTAATCTAACGTGAAGATAAATAGAAGGCCTAATCCCAACGTGAGAGGAATTAATTATTATTTTTATTACCCAAATTTAATAAATAAATTCAAAAATACCAAACAGATGTACGTGGAGGGAACTATAATTTTGTTTGTTTGTTTTTAACTGGCAGATTTTTAAAATAATTTAAATTCCAACAAAGTTGGAGAATTGTCCTAAATTTAGACACTTGTCAATTTAATGTTATGCCGCTTGTCATCATAACCTTTCTTTGCCTCTCCTTTTATATATAAATATATTTTCCCTTTTTATTGTACAAATTAAAAAATCTAACTATTTAGGTATATATTAATAACTTTAAAAAAAGGCCTATTCTAACGTGAAGATAAATAGAAGGGCTAATCCCAACGTGAGAGGAATTAATTATTATTTTTAT